GTTTTAAAAAGGTTACCGAGTGCGGTAACTATCTTACCAACATGCTTTTGTTTTTCTATACAAACTTCAGTTTTGAATTCAGTATTTATTAATATTATTCACAAGAAACTTTTTTATGTACTTAATCAGGTTTAAGAAAGCATTCTAATGTCATTTAGGGCATTTTCCATCGGGCCCACAGTTGAATTTGTTTTGTGCCGGCGGTTTTTTCAGGGGGTCAATGGCGCAATGGCGCGCTCTAGATTGAACACTGGATGTCACATGGGAAACATATATGTAATATATATACATATATAAGTTATTATATAGGTAACAAAATCTCTCTTGCAATAGTTCCTGAAAATATTCTAAAATTCAGTGTATGGGTATAAAAATATCGGCATGCGTTTATATCAATGTACCAGCAATGATCACTGACATCTATGTCCTTTGACATGACCGTAAAAGTCTCACTCCTTTTCAATAATAATTATGCAAAAAAGCAAATCAGAGTTAAGTCACTTGTGCCAATCATGTAAAAGATTATCACAGAGAACAAGTGTGTGAAGTTTCAAACCATTTCCTTTAGTAGTTATGGATATACCAGCTTACACGCAAAACTTCTAAGTCGAAAAAAGGGGCATAATTATGCAAAAAAGCAAATCAGAGTTATGGGACTTGTGCAAATAATGTTAGATAATCACAGAGAACAAGTGTGAGAAGTTTCAATCCATTCCCTTCAGTAGTTATGGAGATACTAACTTACACACACAAAATTAACAACAGGGACGCCGACGCAGACAAATGGGTGTCTGCATTAGCTCTATTATTCTGTGAATAGTTGAGCTAAAAATAAATGTTTGATTCCTGACAAGTAAGGACAAATAATAATCTTACAGATTTTGAAGAAAAGCCATGCAAGCTTGCCAAGGCTAAGAAGAAGTCATTCAGAGTGAAAGATATTCCAGTGAATATACCACAAATATCATTATAACCCATCATTGTTATCTAACACAATTATTATTATAAAAGTCAAAAATACAAACTAATTATTAAATGCTCATAATAATAAAAAAAGATAACATTTGATCTGATATCTGTAACCATGAAAAAAACCAACACTAATTAATTATTTAAAGATCTGTCATTCATTTCATTTCTTTAATTTGTTTCTCCATATTTTATTCGAGGTAATGAAAATAAACATTGATTAATACCACTCATATTTGTCCCTATGGCCTTCAGAAACCTTATTCTGAACTATGATATTGTTGTTTTTTCTGCTCCATAACTTTAGTGGTATATTAATTTCTTTCTTTTAAAATTCAAACTGTGCAGTCCTTCAAGATCATTGATTCCAGCACTTTTATGTGTTGAACATTGAGTAACACTCAAGCCGATGCTAAGGAGACTATTCAAATTTACTAGTGGAGTGAGACCTTAGGTGCCCCTTTGTGCATGAACTGGCACCAGTGAAGGAAGACCTCAGGTGCCCCTCTGTGCATGAACTGGCACCAGTGAAGGAAGACCTCATGTGCCCCTCTGTGCATGAACTGGCACTAGTGAAGGAAGACCTCATGTGCCCCTCTATCAAGGTTCCCACTATTATTTCGGAGTGAATTCCAGGTCTTTTCCAGGTTTTTTCCAGGATTTTTTTTTAAATTCCAGGTTTTTCAATTTGAGAATTCCAGGTTTTTTCCAGACTTCCCACCAGCCCGTAAAGGGTGAAAACATAATATGTCCTGTTTTTTCAAACGGGCATATAAAAATATTCTTCATTTTACTTGCACGAATGACAAATCTTAATTCAATGGCCTGTAAGAGTTTTGTCATTTTAATGAATTCAGTATATATTTACAATATTGGCATAAAACTATTAAACATGAGTCGGTCATAACAAAACTTTAATTGTAAATGAGAAACGAGGCAATTATATTAAATTTTCAGCAAAGTAATTACAGTGGAGCCTTGCTAATCCAAACCCTTCTAATCCGGAATCCTTTCTTATCCGAACGAAGTGTCCGGTCCCGATTTTATTCGTTCTATTTTCAATAGTAAATAAGAGCACCGCTAGGCGGAGCACTATATGCCCGAAAGTGTTTTTCTTTTAGTAAGGATGAAGCATTTGTAAGACAGGGGAATTCGCTGTTCATCCTATAAAATTTTACAGCTGTAGGTTGATTAATACTTACGTTATTAATAATGACCTTAACCTTTGACCTTGTGACCCCAAAATCAATAGGGGTCTTCTACCTTATATGGACAATCATCCTAAGAAGTTTGAATATTGTGGGCCAATTGGAACTTTTATTATGCTCTAGAAACTGTTTTCAGTATTAAGTTAAAATTGACTTTGACCTTTGACCTTGTGACCCCAAAATCAATCGGGGTCTTCTACCCAATATGGACAATCATCCTATGAAGTTTTAATATTGTGGGCCAAATGGAACTTGGTTTATACAGAATTTATTTTAGTTTGATTATGTAGGAAGCTATAAGCTTATAGACACACTTTCGAATCCGTTCCTGGAACCAACCAGTACTGAGCAATGTGTGTAAAGTTTCTTGCTCAATGAAACAACTACTTGCCCCTGACAGGGTTTGAACTCATGCGGCTAGCCATCATTAGATTACTAGTCTGACGCGTTTACCACTCGGCCATGCCGCCACAAATGGAACTTAAGTTATGCTCCGGAAACAGTTTTTGATTTTAAGGTAATTGTGACCTTGACCTTTGACCTAGTGACCCCAAAATCAATAGGGGTATTTTGCCCAATATGGACAATTATCCTATGAAGTTTGAATATTGTGGGCCAATGGAACTTAAGTTATGCTCTAGAAACTGTTTTCAGTTTTCAGGATATAGTGACCTTGACCTTTTGACCCCAAAATCAATAGGGGTCTTCTACCCAATATGGACAATCATCCTATGAAGTTTGAACACTGTGGGCCAAATGGAACTTAAGTTATGCTCCCGAAACTGTTTCCAGTATCAAGGTAAATGTGACCTTGACCTTTGACCTTGTGACCCCAAAATCAATAGGGGTCTTCTACCCAATATGGACAATCATCCTATGAAGTTTGAACATTGTGGGTCAATTGGAACTTAAGTTATGCTCCGGAAACTGTTTCAGTATCAAGGTAATAGTGACCTTGACCTTTGACCTTGTGACCCCAAAATTAATAGGGGTCTTCTACCCAATATGGACAATCATCTTATGAAGTTTAAACATTGTGGGTCGAATGGAAATTAAGTTATGCTCCGGAAACTGTTTTCAGTTTTATGGTCATAGTGACCTTGACCTTTGACCTTCTGACCCCAAAATCAATATGGGTCTTCTACCCAATATGGACAATTATCCTATGAAGTATGAACATTGTGGGTCAAATGGAACTTAAGTTATGCTCCGGAAACTGTTTTCAGTTTTAAGGTCATAGTGACCTTGACCTTTGACCTTTTGACCCCAAAATCAATAGGGGTCTTTTACCCAATATGGACAATCATCCTATGAAGTTTGAACATTGTGGGCCAAATGGAACTTAAGTTATGCTCCGGAAACCAAATTGCTAACGGACGGACGGACGGACAGACAGACAGACGCCAGGGGGTATAACATAATATGCCCTTTCGGGCATATAAAAAACCTTTCGGATCCGGAACCTGTCTACTCCGAATTTCGGACGATTTTTTCAATTTTTGTTCTTATTTTACTCTAAAATTTACCTCTCGGATCCGAACAGGTTTTGCCAAATGTCACACCTTAATTCAAAATAACAAATAATCGCACATCTTGCAGGTGTAAACATACACCAAACTGACAAGTGTTATTTCGCCTGATTATAATGGGTGAAACGTATGATCTGCGAAGGTGTGAAAGTTACGCTTAGCTTGCCTTGATATCTTTTATAATTGCTTAATTGATGGTTTTTCGTCAGCTTCTATAAATATTTTGATATAATGCAATAGAAATATCTTTTAATACTTTGTATTGGATTCAATGATATGTGATTAAGTAATGAAAATTAATGGAAACTGTCAGTGAATTCAGATAGTCGCCGAATGGGATAAGAGTAAACAACAATTGACAAATGCTGGTACAAATATCTAATCATGTCTCGGCCTCCTGTTTAACATTGTAGGTTAACTTACCCTTGAGGACATAATATTTTTAATTATTTATTTATTTTTATTTCTTTATTTTTTTTCACATGTATTAAAATGAACGATAAAAGACTGTAAAAATAAAATATCTAAATTGCAATTTCAAATGCATTCCCGTTTTCTTTCCTTAAACTATTTTGCAAATAACATGAAAAAAAACATGTAAAAAAGCCTTCTAATTCGGAAACCTTTCTAATCCGGAAACCTTTCTAATCCGAACTTTTCTTCTGGTCTGGACGAGTTCAGATTAGACAGGTTCCACTGTACATATGATTTAGCAGCACCACAAGAAAACCAACAAAGTGCTTGTGTGATTAGCATGGATCCAGACAAGCTTGGCTATCCATGCAGTCACATCAAGATCCATGAAGTAAAAATGCTTTCAGATGTTAAAAATGTTACACAAGCTTTAGGCAGACAGTATGGATTCTTATGAGACTGTGCAGATGTGAAGGACTCATCTGGATCCATGCTTCAAGTGCTCCGGAAACAGGGACGTGCTTATTATTCTCATTCGTTTTCATTGTTAATTTCTAGCGAGGTTTCAAAGCCATTACGGCGTTTGCCGTATAAAGAGCTGAATTTGATTTGAAAAATGTTCAAAATACCAAAATAGCTTGTTAAAACAATCCTCAGTGGAAGAAAACATCAATAATCCAAACCAGGAAATGGATGTTGCTTCGGCGGCAGCCATATTGTTCAATATTGATAACTTTCCTTAGAGTTACTGACTCAATCCCGGACTATTCAAGGACTTTTACCAGACGGAGCAAATTCCCGTCGTTTTCATGACCGGGAGTCGCAATTTTGAAAATCACTGACTTTTCCTGTTTTCCCGGTAGCGTGGGAACCCCGCTCTATGCATGAACTGGCACCATTGAAGGAAGACCTCATGTGCCCCTCTGTGCATGAACTGGCACCAGTAAAGGAAGACCTCATGTGCCCCTCTGTGCATGAACTGGCACCAGTGAAGGAAGACCTCATGTGCCCCTCTGTGCATGAACTGGCACCAGTGAAGGAAGACCTCAGGTGCCCCTCTATGCATGAACTGGCACCAGTGAAGGAAGACCTCAGGTGCCCCTCTGTGCATGAACTGGCACCAGTGAAGGAAAACCTCATGTGCCCCTCTGTGCATGAACTGGCACCAGTGAAGGAAGACCTCATGTGCCCCTCTGTGCATGAACTGGCACCATTGAAGGAAGACCTCATGTGCCCCTCTGTGCATGAACTGGCACCAGTGAAGGAAGACCTCATGTGCCCCTCTATGCATGAACTGGCACCAGTGAAGGAAGACCTCAGGTGCCCCTCTGTGCATGAACTGGCACCAGTGAAGGAAGACCTCAGGTGCCCCTCTGTGCATGAACTGGCACCATTGAAGGAAGACCTCATGTGCCCCTCTGTGCATGAACTGGCACCATTGAAGGAAGACCTCATGTGCCCTCTCTGTGCATGAACTGGCACCAGTGAAGGAAGACCTCATGTGCCCTTCTGTGCATGAACTGGCACCAGTGAAGGAAGACCTCAGGTGCCCCTCTATGCATGAACTGGCACCAGTGAAGGAAGACCTCAGGTGCCCCTCTATGCATGAACTGGCACCAGTGAAGGAAGACCTCATGTGCCCCTCTGTGCATGAACTGGCACCAGTGAAGGAAGACCTCAGGTGCCCCTCTATGCATGAACTGGCACCAGTGAAGGAAGACCTCATGTGCCCCTCTGTGCATGAACTGGCACCAGTGAAGGAAGACCTCAGGTGCCCCTCTATGCATGAACTGGCACCATTGAAGGAAGACCTCATGTGCCCCTCTGTGCATGAACTGGCACCAGTGAAGGAAGACCTCATGTGCCCCTCTGTGCATGAACTGGCACCAGTGAAGGAAGACCTCAGGTGCCCCTCTATGCATGAACTGGCACCAGTGAAGGAAGACCTCAGGTGCAAATATGTTCATATTGCAAACTAGTGTAAGAAATATGGTCCTTTGTATTATTTTCATCATTTTTCTTTAATACTCAAAATATCACATAAATTACTTATCTAATATGGAAGAGTAATAAGTATAATATATACTCTCTAGTTATAAACTCTCTAATTATGTACTAACTAATAAATGAACATGTCTTATTTGTTAACACTTTTTGACACATTCCATAAATCATTCACAAATTTCGTTGCGAAATTTTTTAAGAAAACCAAAAAAAAAATTAAGAAAAAAAACAAGATACAACAATCTGTTTGTAATACTTTTTAAATCACTTAAAAATAAGGTTTTTATATCAATTAGAGCACAATATTTATAATCACCTGCTTATAAACTTGTGGGGGTAAGAAAACCAGCATGGAGCTTTTCTATCAGATTTAAAACCTATTTTAAGGGTGAAATAAAATATTTAAAAGATTTAACGTATCATGATTCAAGCTTGCATGATTGGAATATTAATTAAGATATATAAAAAACTTTGGTGCTGTTTTATAATCACCGTTTATGAATATTTCTACAATACAAAATGATACTCCAGTGATGGAAATGATGTTGGTGCATAAAGTTTAAAAAGAAATTCCCATACAAGATGAATTATCAACATAAGTTGATTTTTGGCACAACGATTATTTTGCCTTTGAACTGAGGGCTTGCAGATCTGGGCTATGTTTTATAGAACATCCTCAGCATATTATCCTAAGTCCAATGACGTAAGACCGACTTTAGGACTAACTTAAGACATTATTTAAATTCATTGTCCTGACTAAAGTTAAGAAACATGAAGGTCCACAGTTTATCTACCAATATGTCGATGTCCATCAGCAATGCTTATTTGGAAAGTGCAGGAGTCATAACATGACAGTCATATGTTAGGATGTTAAGACCTTCTAGGACCTGATATCAGACTTAGGATTTTCTATGAAACAGACCCCTGCTGAGCCTCACTGTATGATATCCGAGTATCATGACACCACTTCTGGTTACAACAAGACCATTAGTTAGTTATATGCTGAAAGTTAATTAGCTTATTCTAAATCAACTTTTCTAATTTAAAATAAACCAATCTTAATATTATTATATCTTGCCTCTTATAATATACCTGGATAAACATGTTTATCAACTTCTAACGTTTATTACCACTTAAAATAACCTTCAAAGATTATTAATAATCTAAAGATTGAATATTCTACAGTTATCTTACAAATGCTAGGCACATTTAAAGAAAAGCCAAGATTTTGCTATCTATTCACAACTTAAGTAGTTGACTTTTACCAAGTGCCATAAAGTTTGAAATCTTAGTCAACAATGTTTAATCTAAGTACTCCACCCTTTTAATATATATAATAAAATATTTAACAAAATTACAGAGCCAAATGCAAAGGATTCTCAATATTTTAATGACATTTCAGGGGGCATTATTATTTTGTTAGTTTTGAGTATAACAATTCAGGGGTTGTTATTATAATTTTGTTTGAAAATTATGTAATATCATTAAGAAAGGATGAAGCAAAAGTTCCCCTTTCAATATAGAATGAGGGCACAAAATGTTATTTTCCTGCCCTTAAAGTTAAAGATGAGGGCAATTTTTCCCAAACTTAGTCACAATAATTTTTTTCCATATAAGTACAAGATGAGGGCATATTTGCCCACAATTTTGAATAAAATAGAGAAAATAAGAATCTATAAAGAAAGCCCAAAACGGCAAAATTGAAAATGTTGGAGGCTTGGTTTGATTGAGCCTGTTCATGGACGTTTCTGTCAAGTCAAAACTACCGTCCACGCCCCCTAAGCACCGGCTTAAGCAGAATTCAACATTTAAACCTGAAATGTTAAAATTTTGGATTTAGAAACATCCCAAGATGTGTTCATATGGTGGTTATCATGGAACCTTCAATGTGACACTTCCATGCCATTCCATCAAAATCAACGTAATCACAATAATTTTTTGTCCTTCAAGTAAAGGATCAGGGCTCATTAGTTATCTGTTTTTTCTAGTAGTAATGAATTTCCCAAAATATAAGTACTTGGTTCGTTCTGCCAACAGGTATATATATGCATGTGCACATATTTTAAAGATGGCAGTAACAGTCACTTTGCTCACGGGTGTTCTTAATTGATCTTGTTTGATTGATGTAATCACGCTGTTCACATTTTTTATATGGCAATACTTTAAAAAAAACCAAGCTGCGAAAAATTTAAGTGATGAAATATGTTTTTTAAAAACTTGGTGTGATCTAATTTACTTTTTATTAAGTAACTCTTGATCTTTCACACTTCTATTAATGCTTGAAGTATCATACTGTGAAAGAAATTGTAAAAATGTAAATTTTTTATACAGTTTCATGGAAGCAAGAAATAATTGCCATGTTACAAATAACTATGACATCCATGGTGTCTGATTTTCTCACGGCAAGTTAATTATGATAATAAAGATTCATCATACATTACAGTCTTCCTACTAAAATTACATATGGTATGAAATTACAATTTTCATGGTTACTTTAACATGATTTTTAAAGAAAATATGGGTCCCTGGTACCAAACAACACATTAAAACACCATTACCTGCAGCAAAAATATCAAAACTGCAAAATGTTTGAAACATCCTCTCAAAAGAATGTACAATATTAATATAGGCTATAAGAATTAATGTTAGTGCCTGCCTATAATTCTTAACAGAAGGTGAAGATATAACATAAAACTTACAGAATATCACATCTTTATAAAATACTTGTGATAAATTGATACAAGTTTACACCAAGATAACAACTTAATAGGGGTTCGGATTACATCGACATATTAATCGGTCATATTGCATACCTGAATACCTTATACATTCTACAAATGGGTGTTTCAAAAATGAAAACAACCAACAGGTGTGTAATGTTTCCTTATTTCAACTTCCAAATGTCATACAAACAAAGTTATATTTTTCATTTTTTATTTTATTCAAGGAAAAACAAAAGAAATCTGGCAGATATGACCAGTAAAATAATCCCGAATCATGTATTATTTGACTGAAAGTTGACAGATCTTTACCATGCATCAGTTAATCATACAAACATTAGACAAACATCACATCCTATTGCCTACATAACACAAGATAAGTTACCATGAAAACTGTTTCAATATGAGATTATTTTCTGTCATCTTTTTATCATTTTTGGTAAATGGTCATGTATTATAATTTATGCTGATTCAGCATATTAAATTTTTAACTCATTCAGAGCTGACCAGTATATCTGGTCACCAAAGTGGTCAACACACACAACTGTCTAATCAGAAAACTCTTTCTGGATATGGAAAATACAAATTTCAATAAAAAAATTACTTTGTCACAAAAATAAATACATGAAAAAAGATTAAACCATCCATCTTCCTTTGCAAAATATATCTTTTGTTTTGTTTTTTAAAATAAATTTTCTGTAGACTTATAGAACATTTGTCAGTACTAAAATAGAAATGGCAACAAGTCACAAACTGGCTGTATTCCAGTATTCAATCTTAATATGATAAATCAAGAAACAGTTTTTTAACTTGTTAGTTACAATACTGTAATACTATTAACTGTACAAAATTTCACAGTTTTGCAAAATACTACACATCAGCATTCTCATAAATATCCTTAAATTAAAGGGAGGCAATTCAGTTATGACCATCTGTATTTGAATCAAAAGAGTGACCTTTCTTTACCAACTAGAAAAATAGTTTGACATTGAATGTTTTAAAAGAGAAACATTTATATATATCACATCATAAAATCATTCTTTTACTATTTTCTTTGATAAGGACAGAGTACTCAAATATTTTTGAAAACTTTAAAATGAAAGTATTTTTTATAAAATTTAATTGTGTCATTATTAGTTACCATGTCTCTCTCAATATAGTCATGCAATATTGTTACTATACTTATTACTCAAAATTCCACAAAATGCATTCATAAATATAAATCATGTCACTGTCCTGAAACAGTAGTGTATGCCCATGATCAAAACAAATTTGTATGAAAGATTCTGTAATTGCACAGGCTGCTCTCATTTTGCACAATTCTATGGTAACATTTACAGGAACAGGCCCAGACCCTTTTTAAATTTTTACAAATCAATGCCCTGTTGGGAATATATTTCTTCTCTCAAACTGTGTTACATTGAACAAGAATATTTAAAAAGACACCAAACAATACTAGAAAATGCAATATGCATGGCAGTAGAGGTCCTCTGAAACTGGCAATATAGATTAGATTGGAAAACCTCACATTTGCTGAATTCCTGATAACATCTATTTAACAACATGGGAGATAACTTATTCAAATAATTACTTACAGTTGTAGGTTGTGATGTGTAGCTGCCATATGCAGCTGGATCTGGCTGGCTACTGGGAGCGTACATGTTGTGTCCAGGCCACGACAGTTGAGGTGCTGGGTTTGAGTTTGTAGAAAGAACAGTTGGGGACATCACACAAGGGGACTGTGTATTATATTGAAGCTTATTCTGCTGAAATAGAATAAAACAATGCCAGTAAATATACTAAATTTGATGACTCATTTCACGTTATTTCATCCATAAAGGCAAGGGTGGTTGATACTCTTAGCAATTAGCACAATGGTTTACTTTATAAAGGATACCATTTAACACATCAACACTTCTAGTGCTGCTTCATTCAAATAGGGCACTGCTGACATATCAACAAATATGGCACCGTTGACACATTAACAAATACTGCATCATTGACACATTCAAACTATCTTATAGTGCTGCGTCATTGAAACAGGGCACAACTTACACATTAACACTAATTTATACTGCTGTTTCATTGAAATATGGCATTGCTGACATGTAAACCCAAACTTACAAACTATAAATGCAGTTTCATAGAAATAGGGCACTGCTGACATGTCAACTTATAATTGAAATAGGGCACCAATTACACATCAACACTAACTTAGACTATTAGTGCAGCTTCGTTGCAATAGGGCACCACTGACACATCAACACTAACTTAAAACTATAAGTGCTGTTTCATTGAAATAAGGCACTGCTGACACATCAATTTATAGTCTGGTCAGGCTGGATAATGCAGTACTGATCTTGTGTTAGTACTAGTTGCTTTGGTATAGTCACTCAACAACAGCATTCTAAGAGTTAAAGAAATTTTAAATGTTACATAGTGGTAAATAAATAATACTTAGTCTACTTCCTGTTTTCTACAAGGAATGTTCAAGATAAAATATAATTGCTCCCTAGATAGATACAGTGGTTAAAAGTTTTTGTTTGTTTGTTTTATGTTGCACTAAGACAGAAGTCCCTAGAGGTCATGTGGTGTCTTTTTTAGCTTTACTGACAGGTCCCCCTCTGTGTATTATTTAAGACACAATCAGGCACCCGGGTATTAACCACTGATGTTCCATACAAGTTAGCTGGCTAGTTTACTGATATGAGTATTGCCACTGATGTTCCATACAAGTTAGCTGGCTAGTTTACTGATATGAGTATTACCACGGATGTTCCATACAAGTTAGCTGGCCAGTTTACTGATATGAGTATTAACCACTGATGTTCCATAGAAGTTAGCTGGCTAGTTTATTAATATGAGTATTAATCACTGATGTGCCATACAAGTTAGCCGGCTAGTTTATTGATATGAGTATTACCACTGATGTTCCATACAAGTTAGCTGGCTTAGTTTATTGATATGAGTATTACCACTGATGTTCCATACAAGTTAGCTGGCTTAGTTTATTGATATGAGTATTACCACTGATGTTCCATACAAGTTAGCTGGCTTAGTTTACTGATATGAGTATTACCACTGATGTTCCATACAAGTTAGCTGGCTTAGTTTATTGATATGAGTATTACCACTGATGTTCCATACAAGTTAGCTGGCTTAGTTTATTGATATGAGTATTACCACTGATGTTCCATACAAGTTAGCTGGCTTAGTTTATTGATATGAGTATTACCACTGATGTTCCATACAAGTTAGCTGGCTTAGTTTACTGATATGAGTATTACCACTGATGTTCCATACAAGTTAGCTGGCTTAGTTTACTGATATGAGTATTAACTACTGAAGTTCCATACAAGTTAGCCCGCCAGTTTACTAATATGAGTATTACCACTGATGTTCCATACAAGTTAGGTGGCTAGTTTACTGATATGAGTATTAACCACTGATGTTCCATACAAGTTCCATACAAGTTAGCTGGCTAGTTTACTGATATGAGTATTAACCACTGATGTTCCATACAAGTTAGCTGGCTAGTTTATTGATATGAGTATAACCACTGATATTTCATACAAGTTAGCTGGCTAGTTTACTCGTATGAAAGTGGCAATAACCTTAACCAATCGGGCAAGGATGCACCATGTGGTCAGATGTCAGATTCGGTCAGATGTAGCAGTAGCAGATGCCTGTAAGCTCAACACATGGTACACATTTGATTGTATTAAGGCTTGATAGACATGTCACATGATACTGTGATTTTCTCATCCACTTTATATATGAAAATGTTTGACCAATGGTTATTTATAATTTAAAACAAAAGTCTAAACTTATTTGTCATTCAAAATTCCCTATTTTTTGATGCCTTATTGTCAAGTGTGCTGTCTTTCAAAAATAAAAATTTTGAGAAAAAGTTTCTATCTAAAGCAGTGACATCTTTTCTTGCAACTGCAATGACATTTTACCAAATCATTTTACTACATAAACCCTTGAAAAGCTAAAAGCATTACTTATTTATGTGTTTGCCACCCTGTACAAGGTCAGACTATACAGTTTGATCATTTCTTTACTGTGCTGTATAATTGAAACACATGAATACCCTGACAACAAGATTAATGCATTATTAAAACTCAGCATGAAAAGTACAGCTTAAATATTGAAAAACACATACATGTATAACAAATGTAACAATAATTATGACAAAATTACCTACTTTCCACAATTACAACTCACAATTTCTTTTGCTAAATATTTATCACAACAGTTAATGTTGAATATACTTCTCCACATAAGAAAAAGACATTTTCACAAAGATAAAAATTTTCCCAAAAGTAAACAAGTTGTAGAATGCATGTCATTATGTCCCGAAAATACTGGAATTTAATCTTGAAATATATAGACACCTTTAGTTGAAAACTGTGAAACGTCTACCTTACTGTCATTGTTTTTGCACTAAGAAATAAAGGAACCCAAATCCAGGGGTTACTTTGGATTGAAGTTAAAAGCCACTACCAAAAAATCCTCGGTTTCTAGCCGTTATTGAAGCAAATATTATATGAAATGTAAAATATTTATGTTGCTAAACAACTTGTTTAAGACCATCCCTTGACTTCAAGCCATTCTTAAATTTTTACTTTAGTTTAAAAGTTGACAAATAATTACCAGTATTTATTATAATACATAAGGGCTTAAATTATGCAATGCATCACAAATTTAAACAGAATCAAAATTTCTTGGGAAGTTATTTCAAGTTGCTAACATAGCTTAGTTGCTAAGGAATTTTTGTTGTTGCAAATTTTGTGCTGAGTGGACATATTATGTGCTTGTTAGCAAGATATAATTAATACATTGTCAAATGTTCTTCTCAGTGAGATTTTACAGTCGATTCCACTCATAACGAACTCACTTATAACAAATTATCGTTAATAATGAACTAAATCTGACATCCTCGACCGATTCCTTCTTTATTTTATATTAAATCTCATTGCTTTATACAACATTCGCTTAAAACAAATTTTTGGCTATAGCGAACCATTTCTTCAAGTCCCAAACGGCTTAAAACATGTAAATTTCCACGGTTAAAACAAACTGTTATAATTGAAATATCGGGATGCTCTTGATTTAGATCAGTACATGAATACCGCTATCCGATAATTATTCAATTGAGTGATTGCACAGGTAGGAATAAAGATTTTGATAAAATATTCTCACAACATTATTTCCTACTTGTTACGGAAAATTTATATTTGGCACCCTCAGTTGATAAATTGCTGTAAATACCCGATAATTACCAAATAACCAATTTTTTGTTTGCAATAACAAACAAATAGTAAAAGAATACAAATGGTAAGCACTTTATAGACTAGTAATACATGTCTAAATATATGTACCCGCATTAAATTACAGCTGCCGTACAATACCGGTAACCAGTGACAGGTTTTTCATGACAAATATACCCACCCAAACAAGTCAGCAAATTGTTGCTGCTTCGCTTTTAACAAACTTCGGATATAACAAAAGATATTTAAATGTCCCTAGAGTTCTTATAAGCGGAGTCAACTGTAACTATAAATTTTGATATATTCTTCTAAGTGGTATATAATCCAAATATTGCAATGATAGGTGTTCTATTCATTGTGACAATAATCTCCTTAGTGAGATATATTTCAGAGAATTATAACCAATATATTTTGACAGCTTTCTTAAATGATTTAATCCATATATTGTGCATGATAAGTGAGAAATGATCATTAAAATGTGACAGTATTCTCTCAGTAAGATAAAACCCATATAAAGCAATAAATATTATATTGTTAGAATTTTTTTTTTCAATTTAGACATTACATTTATTGTCACAATGTTTCTTTAAGTGAGATATAAATCTGATAACTGTAAATGATAAAAAATTGAAGTGAAATATAATGCATAAACTTTGCTAATAATCTTTTAAGGAAGATAATTATGATCTGTTACTTTCAAAACATTCTAATGTATGTATGCTTTACATAAATTACAACAAACAGTTTGGTCTTTTTTATGGAGAAAGGTAGGTTTTTTTTATGTAAAGCTCAACAAAATATTTGTTTGGCCTTTTCTGAAGAAGAAAAGGATATGTTTTTTTTTGTGTATAAAAATCAATGTGTTAAGATTTACAAGCACCTTGGTATCTTATCAATTATACTTTTAATTCATTGGAAATTGAGGAATTTATTTACAAAGATAAAATTTGATAAAGTACCCCTATTAACTTCTCAATTTTTGCACTTGGGGATTTAAAAGTTATTATTTTTGATATCCAAATATTCAGTACAGTATCAATAACAAGCATAAACACTGTCAGTATTTGTTGATATAAAGTTTGCACTTTAAAAGCAATACTGAATATTGGGCTTAATATTTATTTTTAAATTTTCATTACACACTGCTCCCTCAACAGAAGAGGAGAAAATCTTGGTGCATTTACTTAATATAGCCAGGTGTTGTAAAACTGTACAGAGTGTTACTTTAGGCATTGACTCTTCATACAAACATAGCAGATGCCCTATGGTGACTTTCCAGCTTTACTGGAGGTGGAGGACTTCATGTGCCCCTTTGAATGTGCAACTGAGTAGAACCACAGACCTCTTATTAATTTGCTTAATAGCTTCCTCATATGAAACAATCGAAAGTCTATGGGGGGGATTCAAACTCTATGCTGTGAGGGCCAAGTTGTTCGAAGACCACAACCTTAATCACCCACTGACACCCTTACCAGTCTACAAGTACTACATATTGATATTTATATACATATAGTATTTTGAAAAAAATTTGGCAGAAAAGTTATAAAACAGGAAATTTTGCTCTAGGTGAATAAAGGCAATGGCAAGTAAGTGGACAACCTAAGGTATCTATCTACATACCAAATATTAAAGGCATCAATCAATAAATAAAGATTATATAACAAGCATCATTAAGTATTGTAAAGGGAGATAATTCAAGCAAGTTCTTATAGTTCTTTTTTAATACACATTTTATCAAATTTAGTCATGTCTCAGTGTATGGTACACTTTACCAACTTTGCTGTATAACTTACCATTCATTACCTGTTTAGTAACCTGAACTACATCATCCTGCATGATGTCTGAATCTGCTGTGTGAGATAAATGACCATAAGTCATAACTTCATAGATTAATTGTCATGGAGTTATTCCTCCTTGGAACAACTTTTGTATAACAAATCTGATGCTCTCTCTCCCCCATTGAGCTTATTTCAGGTCAGGTTATAAATTACTATGTGATATGCTCTTTAATCTCCAGACAGGAGTGTGATGGATTGACCAACAGAATATCTGGAAGGACAGATGGACAGACAAAGCAGGATCTTTATGCATTCCATGTGTAAAATAACTTTGGATTAAGATTTTTTGCCCATCAACCCAGAAATACATAGGTTCAAGCACTATTTGTGCCATTGCCATGTTTGGTCATATGCCACCTGAGTACCAGTTTAAGTTCAGAGCACATACCTGATGTATGCATAAAGCCAGTAGTTTATGCACATGAATAAGTATGTCAGTAAAATGCTGAATAGTTTATGCTCTTGAATCAGTATGTCTGTAAAACCACATATGTAAGCTCTAGCTGGGTAGTTTATGCACATAAATCAGAATGTCAGTAAAACCACATATCTTAACTCTAGCTGGGAAGTTTATGCACATGAATCAGAATGTCAGTAAAACCACATATCTTAACTCTAGCTGGGAAGTTTATGCACATGAATCAGAATGTCAGTAAAACCACATATCTTAACTCTAGCTGGGTAGTTTATGCACATAAATCAGAATGTCAGTAAAACCACATATCTAAACTCTAGCTGGGTAGTTTATGCACATGAATCAGTATGTCAGTAAAACCACATATCTAAACTCTAGCTGGGTAGTTTATGCACATAAATCAGAATGTCAGTAAAACCACATATCTAAACTCTAGCTGGGTAGTTTATGCACATGAATCAGTAGGTCAGTAAAACCACATATCTAAACTCTAGCTGGGTAGTTTATGCACATAAATCAGTAGGTCAGTAAAACCACATATCTAAACTCTAGCTGGGTAGTTTATGCACATAAATCAGAATGTCAGTAAAACCACATATCTAAACTCTAGCTGGGTAGTTTATGCACATGAATCAGAAGTCAGTAAAACCACATATCTAAACTCTAGCTGGGTAGTTTATGCACATAAATCAGTAGTCAGTAAAACCACATATCTAAACTCTAGCTGGGTAGTTTATGCACATGAATCAGTAGGTCAGTAAAACCACATATCTAAACTCTAGCTGGGTAGTTTATGCACATGAATCAGTAATGTCAGTAAAACCACATATCTAAACTCTAGCTGGGTAGTTTATGCACATGAATCAGTAGGTCAGTAAAACCACATATCTAAACTCTAGCTGGTAGTTTATGCACATGAAATCAGTGTCAGTAAAACCACATATCTAAACTCTAGCTGGGTAGTTTATGCACATGAATCAGTAGGTCAGTAAAACCACATATCTAAACTCTAGCTGGGTAGTTTATGCACATGAATCAGTAGGTCAGTAAAACCACATATCTAAACTCTAGCTGGGTAGTTTATGCACATGAATCAGTAGGTCAGTAAAACCACATATCTAAACTCTAGCTGGGTAGTTTATGCACATGAATCAGTATGTCAGTAAAACCACATATCTTAACTCTAGCTGGGTAGTTTATGCACATGAATTAGTATGGTCAGTAAAACCACATATCTTAACTCTAGCTGGGTAGTTTATGCACATGAATTAGTAGGTCAGTAAAACCACATATCTAAACTCTAGCTGGGTAGTTTATGCACATGAATCAGTAGGTCAGTAAAACCACATATCTAAACTCTAACTGGGTAGTTTATGCACATGAATCAGTAGGTCAGTAAAACCACATATCTAAACTCTAGCTGGGTAGTTTATGCACATGAATCAGTAGGTCAGTAAAACCACATATCTAAACTCTAACTGGGTAGTTTATGCACATGAATCAGTAGGTCAGTAAAACCATAAATCCGAGCTAGGTAGACCCACACATCCCTCATCTGCAGGACAGTAAAGCTACATATCAAATGGCTAGCTAGGTAGCTCATGCACATGAATCCATAATGATTCAGTCATGGAGCTAAACCACTCAGCCATGAAGTGTGTTATATCCATATGGGTTTCTGGTGGCAGTCAAATAAATGATTCACCAACATCACACGCAAAACCACCAGCAGGTAACTATTACCTGAGGCACTATCATTCTATTCCTATCTCAACAGAAACATCATACAGGCATTATATAAATAATATGTTTTATGAATTCAATCACCTAGTGACTCAGAGTCATTCTGATGGCTTTTAACTATAAGTACAAAAAGGTCAAAAGTTAAAAAAAAGTTTGAATCAGATTTTAAAATTAAAAGAAATAACTCACCTTTTTATTTAACTTTTATTCAAAATCCTGAATCAAAATAAAAAGGCAAATGAATTCAGTTTCCACGGTAACAAAACATCAAATTTCTGTATTTTCACAATAATACAGTAATAGCTGGTTAAGTCTCATGAAAAGACAGTAAAGATGCAATTAATACTATAATGATGACTGAACCAAACTAAAACATACAAAACTTGAATATGGTGTAAGTTTTCATTCAGGGTTGAACAAAATCTGGACTAAAGGTTTGAAACTGGAGGGTAAAGTCGTGCTAGTGTTTAAATGGTATTTTAATAGTATAACAACTCTTTTTGTAAATAGTTTTACAATATGCTTTTTATGTGTATTCAGTTAAATATTACTACACTGCCTTTTGACTGCCTATATAATGTGGGACTTATAATGTGGGACTTTCAACTACCAGCTGCAGCAATTATGGCTCTTAGTGTAAATTTTTCAATTAACCTTTAGCCTGTTTGCAGCAACAGATTCGACCCATGCTACCAGTGCACCCTGACATCAGTCACATCTCTGCCTCTGCACTGTCTCCTATTCAACAGTACTAATTTTGAAATATTCTCTAAAAAATGATAAATAGTTTTGTCCAGGTTGAAAGACAAACATATCCATTTTAGATACTAAGTACGGTATGGATTAATAACTCTGTTAATCCAAAAATACAAGAATTACTGACATTTTACACATCAGCTGGATTAAGCTCCCTTGCATGTACAGTTGGGACTTGCACCCATGGTAGTGAGGTTTAAAGTGGATAGGTGTACAATACCAACTTGTTCCATTAGTATTTCAAATATTGATAAAAACAATAAAATTTTTATCATTTGGATTTTCTTATAAAATGCTGCTTGAAAAATTAATGTTGATAAAGTTAGTGATTTAGTAGACCATTTATCTAATGAGTAACATCTTGTTCTAGAACATTTATAATATATGCAATAACATATATCAGAAACTTGCCAACAACTTTCATGTATTATTCTTTTGTGGTTTGTTGTAATATCTAATACTAAATACTGTCAACGTTATTATCTATTTTATTACAGACCTTCCATTATAGACCAATTCATTTTAAATTTTTTTACTGACCTTACCACTCAGCCATGAGGGGGTCCACCACCTCCATGTTTCAGAGCAAAAATCTTTTTTTAATTATCCATCACCCCCCTTATAACAGTTACAGATAACATGGTAATCAGATAATTAGATGATTATTTAAGATTAATTTGAAAAACAGCAATGAATATAACTGAAAAAACCTTACCAGATAGTAATCTATATAATTTGTATTCAAACTGCAAGTATCACTGTGATATGTTGTTGGCATAAAAGGTTCAGCATTTATATTCATATCCAGTCACAAAACTCCACAAATTTCCTACACTTTACACACAATGTCTGTAATTCTTAGATATAAATCTCATGCCATTATTTTCCTATAGAAATTCCATAAAATCCAGTACTCATAATTATATACTTCTTCGCACAGAGAAATAAAAAATGACAAGAACAGCACTTATATCAAACTAAACACAACCCAAACACCAAAATTTTCTGCAGAAAATCTGAACCTCGTGTGGAAAAAAATCGAGATTTATATTGCTCGATGGATTAATTTTTTTTATGCAAGATAATCATTCGCTGGATCTTGTTTATAATACAACATTAAAGTAATTCCGCACACTCAAGTAAGCAAAAATTTGGAGATGAGAGAGAAGCTTATTTTCAGATGTAGACAGGGAGCTACAGGGGCGTATCTTGATGGTAATCTCAAGATATAGCAAGTTTAATTACTACATTTACCCTCTAAGAAGACAGTAATTATATTGTAGCAAGTAATTTATATATATATTATTTCTCTGAAAATCAAAAGGGAATTTACTATTGAAATTTGTAGTTACAAAAAAAAATCAAAGAATATCATTATGTGAACATGTATTATGTTTCAGAAATTAAATTCTTACCCTAATAGCCTTCCAAATTTGTACAGTGAATTTGGTTCCTATTTAATTTAAAAAACTGAAAATTGTTATTGATTATTAAAAGTGTTTTTGATTGAATAAAATATTAGTTTATTTGATTGGGTTTTTTGTCACACCGCCACAGTATAGGTCATATGGCGACATTCCAGCTTTACTGGTGGAGCATTCTTCTGAGCATTATTTCAGGCACGAACGGGCACCTGAGTAGAACCACCGACATTCCGTAAGCTAGCTGGATAGCTTCCTCACATGAAAAGAGCCAAAGTCCCTGTCTGGATTCGAACCAATAAGGGTGAGGGGCAAGTGGTTAGAAGTCAACAACCTTAACCACTCGGCCACAGACACCCCAATTAAATATTTGAACAAGTTGTAAATGAATAAATAGTCTGATCACTGCAAGAATGTGTACACAGACCTGGGGAATCTCAACTACTAGTATTAACATAGGAAATTACCATAAAAATATTTAGTGTCAGTTTTGTCAAACTGTATTTACCTGGGCTTTATGGACTCTTTTTATTATGGCAAGGTAACATGTTTGCTGTTGTTTGTGAGTCCATGCTGTAAGAATATTCAATCAACAATCAAGAATCTCGTTTTAGCCATCAATCTTCTATAATTGTGCTGGATAGCTTCCTATAGAAAAAAAACAACAGTATAACGGCAAGTATTCTAACTGAAAGGAAAGAAATTTTATATCAGCCATCTTAAATATTCTGCCGCAAAAAAATGCCCCTTCTTATAAGGTATGGGATCAAACCTTTATAAGCATGGCAAAAAGTGGTTGTTAAACAAAGTGTGTAAAACCTACTAATGAATCTCATCAAATAATAATCAAAATAAATGCCATGACAGCTAAGCCTCTTAAAATTGATGGCCAGCTACGTCCCTGGAAATTCTCATTTGTATATGCACGGAATCTCAAGCTGTGTGACACTCACGCATAATTGTACATCAATAACTAATATACATAATTTACATAAAGCAATGTGACTGTGAATATGAAATTGTTTTAAATATCGCAGATATCTAGATTATATATCATTCTGAATATAGTAGCATATATTATAATTATGGCCTTTAACCTGACCTTCAACAAAGCAAATGAAATACATTCAAGTTTAGACATATTATATTATAATATTACCTTAATACATAAATACATTAGTAAAAGTTGGTTTTATTTTATTCAAATTTTCAAACATGTCACTACTGTTGAAATACAATGTACATAGCGTTTTTTTACTATAATATAGGATAGATTTCACAAAGAAGTGAATTTTTTTTACATATTATCATGAGCACAAAAGATGCTAATAAAAAGAATTCCAAATTTTCAAAAATGTTAAGCAAAAGTTCTATATCTTTGCCCAGCATTACATTAATATATAATTTTTTACAGTGTTTATATTTAAATCATCTTAAATAATTTGGATAAACTTATCAAAATGTTCACATTGACAAATTAAATGTTGTTTTATTTACCTGCTCCAGAAGATACCATGTGATCTGTGAAGGAAAAGGTCTTTAGAATGTTATCTGTTTATGGCAGTTTCTTCTTTTTGTCCTTGAGGTACCCCATGATCTTGTCAGTCCTTGAGGTACCCCATGATCTTGTCAGTCCTTGAGGTACCCATGATCTTGTCAGTCCTTGAGGTACCCCATGAATCTTGTCAGTCCTTGAGGTACCCCATGATCTTGTCAGTCCTTGAGGTACCCCATGATCTTGTCAGTCCTTGAGGTACCCCATGATCTTGTCAGTCCTTGAGGTACCCCATGATCTTGTCAGTCCTTGAGGTACCCCATGATCTTGTCAGTCCTTGAGGTATCCCATGATCTTGTCAGATACTACACCTCCTGTGTGACACAGTCATAACATATCCCTTGCTATGACTGTCCGTTGACAAACTTTCCTAGGAGCTTGACTTCATAACATGCTTCATCTCTGTGTGGAGGTGGTTAAACTATAGAAGCTGAAGACTAAAAGCAAGAAACGTAATATAATCATTAATATGAAAAATGACCAAAGTAGTCCTAAAAATATAAGAAGAATTTTTACAAGCCCAAGGGAACTCTACTTGTTTATTGCTGCCAATCTTTATTAATTTAGTAATAATCTAGACAACTGACAGTACTGTATTTTACCTATATGAAATAAAAGAAAAATCTCAATTAGAAATTGACATGTTTCCCCTTGTTTCATTTGTACATTGGAATTGTTTATTTAATGTTCCAAGAATGTTGTTTCTGTCATATGATGTAGTGCAAGCAGATGTTGGTCCCAATGTAGCCGGTATTGTCTAAACAACTCTCCTATTCTTTTGACCCGTTCTCCTTTTGACCTTCAATACTTTTCAAGTTATTCTCAAGACAAGGATGTGACTGACCAACAGACGCAGGGTTTCTATTGACGCACATTTCCTGCGTCCTTGATGCAAAAATAGTAACCTAGGACCTTCAATTACTCTAAGTCTGCGTCCACAGGGACGCAAATTAAATTTTCCTCCGTAAATGTCATTTGGAAATTCCTTCCGCTTCTGTAAGGAAACGTAATTTGGTAGACGGGTTCTAATATTGAATACAGCAGAGTTATCTTTCTTTTAATTAATTACAGTTTAATACGGAATAAAACAGCACACACTAGAAATTAGTCGACCTTAAAAAAGCGTTCCAGTCTATGCGTTGCTATGAAATAAATCGTAAAACATGTCGGCTGCTCCCCCTAAAGAAATTGCATAGTTTTAATGAAAAGTGGCTAAGTACTTACCCGTGGCTCGTCCAAAACGAGAAGACCACGGGTATGAAAATTAATGCAACCATTGCGTCTCAACCAAAAAAAAGTAATCCATTTTCCGAGCCATTTGCCTCGAAAAATGGATGTTTGAACTTCCAGAATAGTACATTGGTCTGTCATCAAGAGTCTAAAGATCACTTGGATGCAGTTACACAATTGATAAAATTAGTCAGACCAGATGTGAAAGATCTTCACTTTCTGCAAGTTGCACAAACATTCAGCCAAATGAAAGAAAGGAAAAAATAAAAAAGTAACAATAAATGATGATTATGTCATTGTGAAATGTATTTCCTGAGTTGACAAAGCAAAAAAAAATAATAAATGGTTTATATTTTTTTATTTAATTTAACAAGGTCAATTAAACTGCATATGTAGATCTAGTTGAACAATGTATATAAATGTAAATAATTAAACCTAGACAATACATACAAGTAATACCTTACTTTAAAGTAGTAAATGATAAGGACCCTCATATTTTTCTCTGGGACCCTCATATTTTATGAGCACGAGTCCCTAGGACTCTTAAGTAGAAACCCTGCAGACGGACAGACATTCTAATAGGACAATACTGATGTAGCTTCCCCATTGGTTTTTTTTAACCAAATAAAGAAAAATAGCGACATAAGCACTTATAGAATGAATGGCATCGAAGACAAAGTACAGTTACCTATTGTTCCTATAGCAACAAAACTATGCAAGTGTAAGCCCAGACAGATGAACAGACAGACAAGGCAGTGACTATATAATGCTCTCCTTTCCAAGTCACATAAGGGGCAGCATGGCTGAGTGGTTAACATATCTGACTAGTAATCTACGTATACATATAGTTGGACATGTAGGTTTGGGATACAGTCGGGCAAGCCGTTGTTTCCTTGAAAAAATAACTACACATTCATTGTTTAGTACTGGTTGGTTCCAGGAATGGATTCGAAAATGTTTCAGTAAGTTTATAGCTTCATCATCATCATCTCAAGTTATTGCATCACTCCGCAAGAAGTATACTCGCAATTGGATAAATACTGTATATACATATGCAGCAGGCAGGACTGGCTGTTTTCCAAAATAAGAAATAAAAAGTTCCACTATTTACAGTTTCTATTAAAAGGGTAAAAAAACAACTCTGTGACTATTATTTTATATGTCGGCTGGCCAGAGCTGATTGGAAAGCATCCAGGCTGGTCTGGTCAACAACGTCTTGCGGCAGCTTGTTCCAAAGCACAGTGGTTTCAGGAAAGAAACTATTTTGGAAGATGGAGGTGCGTGCTCTGAATTGGCGGAAGCGTTAGTTGTGCCCTCTGATAGTCTTAGCATTGATAAGTGGAGGATCTGGTATAATATCCACAAGGTTCTGAAGAAATGGTGACTCAAAGATATTTGGCATGATCTGCAGTGTTGAGTTCTTTTCCGTGGATGCTATAGGTGTTGGTGATAGGTTTTCTTTTTGTGGAGATGTGGATGACTTCACATTTGTCTGGATTAAAAGCCATCTGCCAATCATCCTCCCAGTCAGCTTCGAACAAAATTGAACTAAAATTTGTATAAACTAAAAGGGGCAAATAATTTTAAGGTTATCTACAATTGTGCTAGGTAAACAAATGCTTTTGGGTCTTCTGACAAAGCTCCTCTTTTTGTTCGAAAAGTGAAGGTAAAAACTGTGTTAAAATAGTTAGCTTTACTTCACATGAGGTAAAACAAAAATTGCCTCTTACTTTCTAAAGGTAACTGGTCTAAAATGTAACAAGAGCCATGTTAGCATGGCCATTCACCGCCAAATGCGTTTGCTGATTGAAGAATGTATATGACTAGTAGAGCAGAATAATTCAAGTTAAAGAGGTCTTTTGGTAATGAAAACTGATGGCTGAAGTGAGTACAGATTTGAAACCAATGTGAATACTGATTGCTGAAAATAACAAAGGGCA